CAAAAGCAAAAAGAATGAGACTGTCATGTGCAGGGGAAAGGACTGATAATTATAAATGAAATTATTTTCGTGCCAGGCACACATTTCTTTTGGCATTGGGTTTAGATTAGCACAAGCTTGATCCTCCCTTCATGTGCGCTGTTGCTGCTCAGGCTCGAAACAGCTATTGGAATGGTACTTATTGAAGTATAAAATTCTTTCAAAAGGTTAGTGTTTAAAAAATAAGCAACACAAGCATTCAGATGTGAAAGCTTCTAGTTCTTGCAGTGTCAAACTGACAGATCTTCCTTTGTAATTGGGGCTAGCCTTGTTTTTCAGAGGAAACTCTGACTGACCTGCTCTCCCTCACCCACCTTTCTCAGTCCTTGAAATGTGTCTATTAATGTTACACCTCTTTTTTTCCTCACTGCGAGTGCATTTTTCCACTCTTTCCTCCCGACCTACCCGAGTGATGCAAACCTCCATGGTAAAATACTTGTCACCACCCTGGTGCGTCTGCCAAACAGTAACCTTCATAGTGTGTAACAGCTTGCCACACACACTGATGTGAGCTTTGGAAATATGAGCTAGAGACAAAATGTATTTATGTCATGCATAAATTGAGCGAGAGGCTTGCTCTAACAGTGAGGAGAAGGATGGGATATTGCAGGTCTTGAAAAGGGCACTAAAAAGTCTGAAATCAACTCTATCAAAAAGAACTTATAGAAGCAACTAAAAATGTCTGTTCTTCAATAGCCTTTTCTTCCAGATGTAATTTCTTCTCTGGGAATAAGATTAACTATTTGTTGTTTTTTTTTCATCCATCCATCCATCCATTATCCTCCGCTTATCAGGGGTCGGGTCGCGGGGGCAGCAGCCGAAGCATTAGGTATTAGACCATGGGGTCACCAACTACATGGCCGTTGTTTAATTTGGGCCAAGGATAAACTACTTCTGAATTCAACATGAAAATGTTATTTAAAAAAAAACATATAGTAATTTAAAAAATATTCAGTTACTTGATTGACACATTTAGACTGGATCTTCCTTTTTTAAAATATAGTTGCATTATCTGGCACTATTTTTACACAATATCAAAAGCTAGGAAAAACGGGATATCTGTAGTCCTAAAATTTGTATTTTGGTAGCTTTAGTATTAAAAAGAAAATATATATATTCCATATATTATTTTACATGACAGTGGTTACAAGGAATAAAATACTAGTGTGCTGGTCCATCCATCTAACGCAGCACCAATAGACACAGAAAGAAGCTGTACTTTACTTCCCTTTTTAATGAGCTGCATAGACTCCCTGCTGACTTGTAATTAGTCCTCAGAAACTTCTCTGCCATTAATTTGCACACAGTAATGACAATCCTTTCCCTTCTCACAGCAGTTTTCTTTTTTTTCAGAACGTTGAAAAGATACTGCATATGTATTAATATTTTTCTCTGTGATGGTTCATTGTAAAAATCCTTCACAAATGTTGGATAACATTCTCACTTAAGGATTCAGCAGTGCACTATTTGGCTTTGAAGTTGTATAGGAAAGATCAGGAGTCTGTGGGGAAAACTGAAGAAGTGAAGTGAGAGGAGGTAAGGCTAGGAGAAAAGGAAGGAAAGAAAAAGGAAAAAAACATATATGAGAGAGAAATCTGGGCATGATGACATGTTGCATTACATGATCCATGTGATGCCCCGGTGGTCTCACCCTATGTATCATGATCATCTGCAGCTGAACCTCAGGGTAGAAGACTCCATTTCCGCTCTCTGCAGCCTGATGGGGATTAAAAAGGGGTCTGGCGTTGGGCCCAGCAGAGCCAGTACGGATCACAGCTTTTTAGGGTTCCACATCTAAGGACCAGAGGGAAACTTCCTAATACAAGTCATTCCTGCCATACACACACACAGTCACACATTAAAATACAAGCACAAGCTCAGGGCTTCATTGCTCCCAGATGTGGATCCATCCTGCTGAGGGCAAGTTCAACTGGTGACCGTGTGCTCATGTGGGCATGGTGTTTATGTGCGTGTCATGTTAGCGTGCATGGAGAGTAAAATGGCCTGTGCCCAAACAGACATAGAAATGATGGGTCTATGTGTTTGCTGCCCGAAAAGTGATGAAAGATTCTGTGTGCACAATATACCTACAGGTTTTTACTTTAGAAAAGTGTTTAGAAAAGACTTCATTCAGAAATCAGCTAACACATACCAGGGAAACTATTGCAGGGTGTAAAGAAGTGGAGGGAAAATGCATGTAGTGTTTCTTCTTCTTCTGAACTACAGTACTTCTTCCAAAGGAATCTGTGTTCTAATCATGAATTCCTTGCAGTGGGTTTAGATATATATTTAATAATATTTTAAAGTTACAAAAGCTTGATCTTTTGCTCAGTTTGTCATTACTCCAAATTTGGAATTGTGCTCCCCAGAAATGACATATTTCTGTTGAATAATAAACTTTTAAGCAATACAAATAGATAGTAAATTCAACATTGCTCCCTGAGACAGAATGGAAAATACACCTCCAATTATCTTTTCATCTATAACTTCCACAAAAAGCAGCTCTACTAAACAGTAACAGTACCAAACAGTAGCGCTTGAACCTGTAGTTTTGGGGTGCATTAACCAAGTCGTAATAAACCTCAGCCCACCCACATAGACTACTGTTAAATGTGCGTGTGACAATGCTTGACCCTAACACATTTGCATGCACTGACAAATGACATCTGTGTACCGTTGGAGCCCTTGTCATTACTGCTCCAGATGCAGATGGTAGAGATGTGATGAAAACAAACACAAGGTTGCTAGGTTGCCCCATAAAAACACTGCAAATGCTGTCTGATAAAAAGATCAAACATTGGGGGTTTTCTTAAGATTAGACTGTTCTAAATTCTAATTCAATTTGAATGAGAAAATAATGTGCTTGTATGCTTTTACTTCTCTTCCCAAAAAACAGTTTGTCCCCACTCCTTTCCCTCTCCTCTTCCATCTCCAATATGTAACCCACCATTCGTCTGTTCCTCTCTGCCGTGTGGCTTGAGATTACAAACTAGAGCGCAGTTTGAGATGTAAGCATCATGTCAATGGAAGCCCCTCTAATCATCAAGTGTGATCACTATGGGTTCCAATAGCCCAACTGCGTGGACTTAAACATCAATTTAATCCATCAGACATACTCGCAAAATTGCCTGCAGGCACAGAAAAAACACACGAAAATTTGAAAAACTGCATGTGTATTTGATGCACTTTTGTTCAAATACTTGTCCTTTTTAACTGTTTGGCTGATTGCATTTAGGACAAGAGTCATCTTGGGGAATGTAAGAAACAAACATATAAAAGGCAAACTGTAGAAGGTTTTTTCTCATTCTCTTTATTCAGACCATAAAATGTCTCCCAGATTGATGACACATTTGACTGACCCAAAGCAGAATCAAATCTCAAAGGAACAGTTATTAACTTTTCTTACATATAACTTATTATTTCTCGGCTCAAGATCCATAAAAACAATCCTGTCATTCAAGTCGTGTGATGACCACAAATAAGCCTAATCAATTTCTCAAAAATCAGATCATGCTGCAGTTTGTCATTTTTGCTTTTGTTCGAAATGTGCACTGTAAAACATTACAAATGGCAAGAGAGAAGTCATAGAAAAAGCATTGTTTTCCACACCAAACTCCCTTCTGCATTTTCTAGATATCTTATAATTATGTTTTGCTCTGTCCTTTTAAAAGAACTGCCTATGAATACCATCAACTGAGATTTTTGGTGTTACCCTCTTGATTGCATGCCAGGGGACAAGCAGGACTTGGACTTAAGGGTGGTTGCTGGATGAGAGAGACAGAAAAATTGAGTTGGCTCCATCACCGCGCACAAGAGCTTCATAAGCCCTCAACTTACAGACCAACCACGAAGTCTCTGACCGAACCACCACATGACTGCTGAGGAGGGATAGGGAAGCATGGAAATTTGCTGAGGGATCTTTCAAAGTTGCAACACTGGCATTCCTCACTGCTGACATTTCTTTAACTCATATTGAGTCTTTCCATTTCAAGTTGTTTTAAGATTAAATGACCTGCAAGTTAAAAAAAAAAATCTTAGAACAACGTAGAGATATTGGATTCATTTTAAGGGTTATGGTAGTTTTGTAAGTAGGGGAAATGGGACAATGCAGTTTACTTTAAGTTATACATTCTACTATGAATTGGTTACATTCAAGCTAAATTCAAGCTTCTGCGTTACAATGTGACCGCTAACCTCGCTAATCTAACTAAATTATTTTCTAACTGTGTCATGAAGAATGAACTAATATGAAATTCCGAAATATGAAATACATTGTGCCATTCAATGAAATAGCACAGCCATCTTTGTTAAATAGAAAAATAAAGTCAAATACACAGACAAAATCAGGTAATCACAGTTCAGAAATAGCTGTCATTTTGTCATCTTGGTGCAAAGGCTGTAGAGACGAAGTAACGCTATTTAAAATGTAGCCTCTTGCAACTTCATTTTTACTGTTATTGATAAATGATTAGAAGTGCTAAACAATTTCACAATAATTTGATTTACTTCATACAAAAGAGGAGAGCAAAGGGTACAATTTCTGGTAGCAGAGACAGTAGTTCAGCCCTGCGAGGACGACTGCAATGTGGGTTCATTCCAGTCCGGCAGGACTATGCCCCGGACTCAGCAGCAATTATGACCTTGTTTAGCAAAGAAAAGCAGATGAGAGGAAATGACTTTCTTGAGTTCACAGACTCTCTCCCATTTTACACTGACATGCTCTCTCCATCATTGCCAGCTCCTAAGGTCATGTTTATCTCAGTGAAATCTCAGTCTTCATTTGTCATTTGGTCTTCAAATTACAGAGTAAAGTAAAATAATAAATTCCTTCAAAGCAAGAAAGGCAACATCAAGTATATCATGTATACAAAGAAGGTTATATTTTTGCCATTATCTTTGATTTGATATTTGTGAATTGTCTCGTTCTTAACTGTTAATTTTCCTTTTTCTTTTTCAAAAAGGAATTTAATGCCTCGGAGTATGGAGAGTCAGATAACCATGGAGAAGACTCCGAGTTATTTCATCACCAAAGAAGCTCCTCGTCGTGTCCTTTCCATGAGCCGCCACACCAAACTGATTGTGGTGGTGCGAGATCCTGTGACACGGGCGATTTCTGATTACACCCAGACTCTTACCAAATCTCCAGGGCTCCCATCCTTCCAGAACCTGGCCTTCCGCAATGCCACACAGGGCCTCATCGACAGATCTTGGAGTGCCATACGCATTGGCATATACGCTAAGCATCTGGAGAACTGGCTGCGCTACTTTCCGCTCTCACGTTTCCTTTTTGTGAGCGGCGAACGCCTTGTGACTGATCCAGCGGGTGAGATGGGCAGAGTCCAAGACTTTTTGGGGCTCAAACGCGTGGTCACAGACAAACACTTCTATTTCAACCAGACCAAAGGTTTTCCATGCCTAAAGAAGCCTGAGGGGAGCAGTAGGCCGCGCTGCCTGGGGAAGTCAAAAGGCAGACCCCATCCACAGATACCTTCTGAAGTCCTGCTCAAGCTCAGAGACTTTTACAGACCCTTTAATCTCAAGTTCTACCAAATGACCAGCCACAATTTTGGCTGGGACTGAATAGCTATCAACCAAAGTTTTTAAAATCTCTCGATACCATTTTCACCTTATTTTTCCAGCTGAGGAAAACCGAATGCCACTATGTTTACATTCATCTGCCTTGCAAAAGCCATGCTAATACAGATTGTTACAGCTACAACATCATAGAGCCAGTTAGCAAAAAAAAAAAATTCAGAAGAACCTCTACACTGAGACAAGCACAAGCCAAACTGACACAAGATTTTTATTGCCTTCAGGTGAAACTTCTAGTATTTGTCAACTTAAGGGCAAAGTAAGCCAAAATCTCACTGCTGTTCAAAATGCTTTTCGGCACAACCTCAGGTTGTTAGAACTGCACATAAGTGAACCATGATAAATGGACTGAAAAGGCTAAGGAGCTTTGTCAAACACAATTAACTTCAAAACTTACTTTGATTTATGCACAGTGGTACATTCTCAATAAATGGGTGCTGTTGACAAGTAAGGTTCTTTTCAGTGTAAGAAAATATCATACCCCGTCTTTTTTCCTTATTTTTCTTGAGATATAATATAAATGTAATACCGGATACATATGCAGGATGATACCAGACAGCAAGACATTCATCTTTATAGCTATACATTTCTTTTTTTATGTCCACAGTCCAATGCTTTTCTTCTTTCTTCTTCTTCTACAGTCCTTAAAAGTAACATTTGCATTTGTTTTCTGTTTCTTTTAATTGACTCACCTCCGCAAATTATACTGACATGCAGCTGTGTATTTTTGAAAGGGTAATTTATTTGAAGAGATTAGATGTTTTTCTCTGGAAATTTTGTATTTAAAACTATGCTCAAAATTCTGACTAAATCTTTTACTCTAAGACATGTCTTTGGGCTCTTTAATGTGCTGCTTTTTCTGCAGCAGCGCTTGCTTAATCCTCTTTGTATTCACTCCAAACAATTACACGTTGCTGCTGCCAAGAGGTCAATATAGATCTGTTGAGCAGATGATTTTTTTTTGTGAAATTGAACTAGCAGACAGATCAATTGATAAAATGTAGGGAATCACTTTGGGAGAATTTTATAACATATTGTTCCCCAATATGGCTGGCATTTATCCACAACATACCAAAATGCTTCTACAATCAAGTGTTGGCTCTTAAAAAGTGCAAGAAAGTGACTTTGACATGTGCTCAGTCAGTCTTTAAATGAGTAAGGGATTTGAAGAAGTTATCTGCCTCTGTTCCACCAGCTTCCATTTTATAATGCAATCTCTTATTCAGCAGTACAGAACTTTCTGAAAAATGTGTTTTATGGGTTCATTCTCCATAAGGCAAGGCCCATCACCTTTCACAACCACATTTTCTGTGTGCAATTTAAACCTTTATTATTTCAATATAGTTAAAGGAAACTGCACAGAGTAGTTCTGATAAAGATTAAATACTGCAGTTGCAGTTGTGTGGGTGCAGAGTGTCTCATTTGCTTATTTGATACACAACAAAAACTCTCTTCTTCTGCTCATATTAGATTTTTTTTATTTTTTTTTACCTGCAGATATGTATGTATATAAAAGAATATGAATATAATGTTTGCTAATTACAATTTAAAAATGGTCAACGGTTTTTATTTGTTAAGAACTGTTGCCTTAAACATCCTAAAACCCAAACTTGTAAACCCAACCTCCCACTCACCACTTTGGTGAGATACTATTTATGATTTTCAAAATAGGTAAACCGAATAGTGTCTTCGGTAAGCAAACACTGTTGTGTCAGATTATTGTTAGGGCAATGTGTATTCAGCAACTTGCTAGCAAAAGTTCACTGATGGTTATATACATAAATCAAAGTTGCTTGCTCATGTTAATGACTTACTTTAACTGCCAAGAAAATGTTATGTAAGGATGAATGGGATTTATGAGGTAATCATAGTTTGATTACCTCAGATGCACCTCATATGATGAACAAGATTCAAAGATTCAAAAAGCTTTATTCATCCCGAGGGAAATTGCTTGCGACACAAGGTGAAAATAAATTAATGAATGCAACTGAGGTAGTGAACAATTGTTTAAAGTGAACCGTGCAAAATTGTAGCGGCAATTCAACAAATAAGTAATAGCAGAGAAATTAAAAATGAGTGACTAGTGATAAAGTGATGAACTGACAAAGTGGGGTGTTCAGGACGCAGAATCTAGACTGTTCCTGTCTCTGCCAGAGGTAGTTAAATTAAACAGTCTGAAGGCCAAGGTAAGAAAGGACTTCCTTGCTGTGGTTGGGGGCAATTAGTCTGTTGCTGAAGGTGCTTCTGCTTGAGGTCAGCACCTGATGGAGCAGTTGAGTTTAGTTGTCACCACCAACAAGGAGACCAGTTGGAACCCCAGGACAGATTTTAAGTTCTGTTCAGGATGTTGACCTCCATAGCCCTTATAGATAGATTTGAGTGGATTTAATCCACCCGTCTATTTGCCATACAGCAAAGAGGAGCATCCTTCCCAAAATTTTTAACCACACCTTCAAGCAAATTTCTCGACAGTGATTCCTTCCCTGTTAAAGGGAACCGACTGAATCAAGTAAGGAGAGTAAGAGATGGTTTCGGTGATTCGATAGAGTTCATGTGACTGAAGGCATCTAGGGGACAAATTTGAAATTAAACAAGGACAGTGGTTCTTCAGATGTGCAAGCAATCAATTCACTGCAGTGATTGGAGCATCTTTGACCTCTTCTCTCCTCCCTGACCTGCGAACCAGAGTGCCATAAAATGCTGATCACTATCACCATGCTGGTTAATGGAGTTGCTCTGCATGCGCAACGAGTCTGGATGCACTCCATCAGACACACCTGCACACACAAATAATCACACACAGAGCTAAGCATGAACTCCCCCTCTGATCCATTAATATTGCATTTTCAACCCCTGGGGACTTCCAGTGAAGGGAGATGACAAGAATCAATACCTGTCTGTTTAGTTTATAGGTGGCAGGGATATGTGTTTATAGGTGCTGTGCTCTGCTGTCGGTTTGATTTAAAGCTGGGGTCAAGCGTAGGTCACTATCACATATTTGTAAAACATTATTTAACTCTAGAATCTCTCATACCTCTGTGGCCCATGCAAGACCTGAACACTAATTCTCAGCTTGGTTCTACAGAGCTAGGTTATTGGATACCAGAGCCACACACTTTAATTGGTGGTAATGTGTTATACATTCAAGCTCTGATTAAATTTCAGATCAAATCAGAATTATTATCTGTATAATTTAATTTCTAATTGGAGGAGGGGGGTTACAATGGTTATGTGGCGTTTACTTTTTACTTTTTGGTATGGTGTCATTGTAATGCTTCAAATTAGGTGCAGTGAATGAGATATTGGCATTCAGCAAAGCAACATTGGCCATCTGCAATGTCAAGGCAGCCCTTCTTTTATCGCCATGACTCACTTTCTTTGTTCTCAACAATGTCTTCTGCAAGAGGCATCTTTTAGAATTAACTTTATGCCCCCATCTAGCACTTAGACACATAGCTGGTGAGCATATGACCAAAGGTGAAAGATCAAATTATCTGTCTCAGATTAAATCAGACTAAGATCTGAAAGAGGTCAATGCTACATTTGGAAGGAATCAAGAACTGTAAGTCTAACTTAAAGGGGACATATAATGCAAAACCAAGTTTTTAATTATTTTATTATGTACATTTGGGACTGTGGAGGGCCTATCAGCAGGCAAAGTGTGAAAAAAAATGACTCAGTCATATTTTTGTGAGCTGCCTCAATCTCAATACAGGAGATAAACCTGCATGTTGCCACCCACCTCAGCTTACTCCGCCTATCTGTGGCAGACGTTGTGGACGTGAGCATGGTAGCGTGAGCGTGCTGACGTCGGCACACCTCCCGGAAGAAGTGGGTGGATTGCCTGTGTCTCATTTGCATTTAAAGAGACAGGCACTCAAAACCGACGCTCTGAACGGGGCTGTTTTGCCAGGGTAATTGAACTGCTATTGTGCTTCATCCTTATGGTATTTTGACCAAAGCTTGTCACAGACATTACATTAGGACACCAGGGAACTAGTTTAACTTGTTGAAATAGGGTATGTCTCCTTTGATTATCATTTTATGGCCTATTACATGGTTTCAAATCAAAAGATTTTGTGTTTAGTTTATCTTTGTCAACCTCCCCAAGTACCTATTTGGTTTCAATTGACTGTAAATTATTTTCTGCTACCTTCTGGTTCCTTGGCAACTTTTACCAACCAGTTCCAAAAATGTCAGGATGCTGGTGTAAAATGTAAATAAATGAAAAACTGAGTGCCTTACCGACATCTGATTTCCAGCCTAACATGAAAAACATTCAAGTTTAAAGTGATATATTTGACAAATTTATTGATATTAACTAGATATGTAAGAAATTATTCAGAATGTTCTTTTAAAAAGTTTCTTTATTGTAAAAACATACTACATAGAATGACAAAGTTCTACGTCTTGAGGCCTTAAAGAATGAACAGATCATACACTTTACATAGGTGTGTGATTCTTTACAGAGAAAACATTCTATGACTGTCTCTGTATATATAATAGACATGGTATCAGTGTCCCTGATTTTGAGAGCAGTCTGTCTCTGCAATAGCAAAGAGACAGCATATGAATTCTCTATAAATTCTCTTTTGATTTGCACAGAAAATATGGATGTCAGCATCATCATTTATCAGTCCTGTGAGACTTCATGCAATCCAGACAATTTCAAACTGAAACATGAATGGGGCAAATGGCATAAACAGTAAAAGCGTTCATGTTCACCTGAAACTTTATGGTTGCCGCCTGTTCACCAGGCATACGCTCCAGTCAGACAGAAAATGTTCAGGTCACAAAGCACTGTCTATGGAAGTTTGTTAAGGGAACCAGAAAGCTGTGTCATCAAGTTTCTTGCTGAAAGAACTTGTCTTGTTTCTGTCTTCACTCAAGAGCCTTAAGACCAGAGATAGCATTTAATAGCTGACTGAAGTTTTTCAGGCCTGAAGGTATTGAAATGCAAACAAGATGGTTCAGCTGCAGGTGTGCAT